TATGATAAATGGTTTCTTTATGTGTTTTCTAATTCTTTAAAAATTTGAACTTCTCTTCAGTAGGGCTTTTTCTTCTGTGGAAATCCTTTTGAGACAGATTGCTGGAGTTTTTCACTTCATTTTATCTTGTGCTAGGTATCCCAACCAAGGGAATAGAAGAAGTTTTGGGTTCCTGTTTTTCTGTGACAGAATTCAATGACTAATTTTTGCATTAGTACATAAAGATCCTGATTTTTGCATTAGTCATTACATAAAGAACCTTACATAATACGATAAATACATCTCAACTATGTTTTGCAAAAGATAAATAAACTTAGTTTTTTTGTTTATTTTGTAATGGTTTATATTTAATTTCTACTGTAACAGAAGTGTTTCCACATTGGAATAGCTATTATTTTGCCAGAATTCTATCAACTATACACAACTTGAAATCTATTATGAAAGAGAAGGATTTAGTCTCCTTTCATTACTCCTTCCCTTTTTCGTACAGTGTTTGCTAATTTTATTATTATGTTTTGTCTATCAACTACTTTTGTAATTTTAAATCATTATTCTTCTATTATCCTCCCAGGATTCCATGCTGTCTTCATTTTTGTTTTTCTCCCTTGTTTCACTGGAAAGTGTTCAGTGTTAATGTTTGGTCCATTGGTAGTCTACATATGTTCTAAGTCCTTGTAATGTGTGGTATTAACATTAGTGCACAACTACTCTTTCTTCTGTTTTAAGACCTGCAGCATTAATCAGATTATTGTCCATAGGTTGGCTCTGAAGTTTGAAGGCCAAAACCAGCACTTACATTATTATGATTTTGTATACATTGTTTAGTCCTAGGCTAAGTATGGCTAGGACAACCTCTCTGAATGTTCATGAGTTTTCAGCCAGTTCTGGGAGTTCTCAGCATCGTCAAATAAGTTCTCTTTTCTAACACTCCATCCATAGTTCATATTTGCATGGTTCAGTTCAGTTCACAGTTCAGTCATGACTTTCTTTCTTAGCTTTTTTCCCTTTTGGATTTTTGCACTTTATAATAAATCTCACTCTATTATTAATTCTTATTAGCACTTTGTCCTCTGTTGAGTCATTTGTATTCTTAAGGTCTTTATCCTGAAGCCTTTTATCCTAATTATTTCTAGGCCTGATGAAGTACTGCTGTATGTAAGCTTTCCTTTACTACTTTATTGCACTGGATCTTTTTCCTGGGTTTCATGCTGTCTCCATTCTTGTCTACCCTGTTGTTTTGTTGGAAATATTTCCTCAAGTAACTTTGTTAGTCAGGATGAATAGAAAGCAAACTCT